GACAGGGGACACGGGACATGGGGACACAGCCGGGAGGACGAGAGACACGGGACAGAGAACATGGGGCTCTGCGGGCACCAGGGGGACAGGGGACACGAGACACGGCCGGGGGTCTGCGGGCGCCGGGGGAACAGACGACACGGCCGGGGTTCCGCACCCTCCCCGGGTCCTGTTAGTGCCAGGGGGACACGACAGGGGCTCTGCGGGTGCCAGAGGGACACAGGACACGACCAGGGCTCTGCGCCCTCCCCAGGCTCTGCAGGTGCCGGGGGGCCAGGGGACATGGCCGGGGCTCTGTGGATGTCAGGGGGACACGGCCAGGGCTCTGTGCCTTCCCTGGGCGCTGCGGGTGCCGGGGCTGTCTCTGGTGAGGGCAGGTCTCTTTCCAGCATCGTGTTCGAGGCGGCCTCAGGTTCCTGGGGCTGCTGTCGCGCGGCTCCTGTGTTTAGCGTGCAGGGATGCTTAGTTCTCCTGCTGGGAAGGGGAGCTTTCCTTGGAAGTAAAGGATAAGTAGTGATACGAGCCTCTCTGTGAAGGGAAGGTGCAATCTGGTTGCGCAGGCGCAAGGTTTCCTCCGTGTGGCGCCCTGAAAACGCAGGAAAAGTTAGAAAGCTGAAGCAGATGCGCCCTGATTGTAGCAGGTGGCTGAGGAGTCCCCGTGTACACGTGGGTGGTTGTTTGGTTCTTGTTTCAGGAGATCTCAGCCATGCAGAGCTGATGATGATGACGATAGCAGACATCATAAAACAGTTAATTGAGGCCCATGAGCAGGGGAAGGATGTGAATCTGAACAAGTAAGTCCCAGAATCACAGAATAATTATGGTCGGAAAATACTTTCAAGATCCTCAAGTCCAGCTGTATGAGTCCCAAGCGAACCAGGCGGTTCATTCCTGTGTAACGCGTCCTGTGCAGCCTGTTACATCCAAGCTTCATTTTAAAACAATATTTTGCTTCCATGGAATATTGTAACTCCTATTCTGTTGCCTGACAATGAAGCATGTTGTAATTTCAGCTATAAAGACTTGTCAGTTTTGTGCTGATAGAAAATCCTGCCTTGCCACTGTATTGGCAATGCTCAGAGTATGAAATGGGTTGTGTTGTGAAAAAAGCCCCCAAAAACCTGTGTTTGCCTGTGTGTGCATCTGCTAGATTGAAAATGAATCCCATCATGTCAAGGGGAGAATAATTCATGCAATATGCAATATTAAAGCATTTTTTCTTAGTAATGTATTACAAATGAAGTTGTTTTCTCTCTTCCCTTCTTTACTTATGTAGAGTAGTGAAAACTGAAGTTTTGGTCCAATATCCCTGTTTTATTTTCATGATCTAATTGTAAACTTCTTGTTGATGCTGGAAACGAATTATTGAAAATTAACCTCGCTGAGGTCTGAGTTTGTGGGAAATTGCTTGGATGGAAGTTTTATGTAAAGAATAATTCACTGAAAATGGATAAGTTGGAGTCTCTGGGGCTGCTTTATTAATGTTTTGGGTAAAACCACCTTTAGAAATTAAACACACAGAAACTCGAAATATTGGCATTTATTGTGCACCAGTTTCACTTGGAATTTATTTATTTTTTGTCCTAATGCTGAGTGCTGCTGTTGTGGTAGCTGGGAATATCTCTTTGCTTTTTAAATAAGCAGCCCGAAAAGGCAAATTGGGAGAACCTGCCTAGATCTCCCTCTGATAGCACCTTAGCACGGTAGCCCTGCTGTGGGATACGGCTGGACAAGTTTGATGGTAATCGCTAATTTGAGGCCTTTGTGCTTTTAGGCTGAAAACGAAGACGTCGGCCAAGTACGGGCTCTCCGCGCAGCCTCGCTTGGTCGACATCATTGCTGCTGTTCCGCCCCAGTACCGCAAGGTGCTGGTGCCCAAGCTGAAGGCCAAGCCCATCAGAACTGCTAGTGGGGTAAGAACACGCACCCAGCGCCCTGTCCCCTCCGTCTGCCACCGTCCCCTCCGTCTGCCACCGTCCCCTCCGTCTGCCGCTGTCCCCTCTTGCATGGACAAGTTGTGCTGGGTGTAATCGCCTGCAAAGATGAGGATAGTGAGTGTCCAGAAGCTTTAATGAAGATGCGCTTCATTAACAGCACTGCCAACTTCGAGGTTGTCTGTTCTGTGCTTTCAGAGCACCTGTGTGTTTAATTTAAGGCATGTGGGAGAAGAGAAAAATGGGATGCAAAGGCTTCATTTCAACTTATGAAGCAAACTAGCATTAGTTGCTGTAGAAAGTGCAGCTTATTCTGCAGGCCCTGCCTGTGAATATTAGAGGTGAAATGTTAGTATTTAATGTGTTTCTTTGAAGAAGAGTATGGATGGAAAGTAGTAATGCTACTGAAGTGCATCTTTTTAAATTTAAAGTTTCTCTATCATGCATATATAGCATGTCTAATGTCAAAGTTAACAAAAATAGAAAAACATAATCACAGGGAGTGTTCACTTCTTTAGTTTTTTGATTGTTTCTTTCCCCTGTGATTATGGAGTATTTCACTAAAATCTTACTCCAACCAGAATTTCCAAAAATATGATGTATTCAAAGTTGAATGCTCAAAAGTGTCCTTTCACAAGGGCACTTGTGAAAATCTCCCTTGTCTCTATCTCTTTTTCCCTTGCTCCTTGTAAAAAACGATGATAATATACTGTCCTTGCTGTGTGAGACATGACTGGAAAAAAAGGTGGAAGGAGGAAGCTAATTTTACTCTGTTCTCTTTGCTTTATGTCTTCTCGTTTGAGCACAATGATTATATCAGGCCTGACACAAGACAGCTGATTCTCCCAGATTATTCTGAGTTATGAAAATATATAATAATGGGATTTATATTTCTTGGTATATCATCATCTTTTCTTTAAGAGTTAATGCACAGATATTTTAGGTGGTAAGCTGAGCAGAAAACATCTATAGTGTCTTGTAAATGCCTGTCTTTATATAACCTTTCAAGGTGCACACTGTTTTAGTAACTTCTGATACAATTACAATAATTTCTCTGCTCTGTAACTCTGCTTATTTCAGATTGCTGTCGTGGCTGTGATGTGTAAACCACATAGGTGTCCACACATTAACTTCACTGGCAACATATGTGTGTAAGTATGACAGCTTGCATCATCTAGGGAGGGCTATTTTCCAGTATTTCTGTATGAATCTAGTATTGTAGTAGCATTCTCTTGGAGATTGTGTATATATCCACAGACTTGTTTTCTCCACAAGGAAAAAAAAATGCAGGAAATTGGATTCTAAGTGCAAACTGCCCATCCTTGCACAATGGACTAAAGAATCCCCTTGATTTCTTCTTCAAAGACAAAACCTTTTTTTTTCATGGGGCAAACCCTACTCGCTCAGTGGAAACATTTTAGTGAATATAGTAGCCAGGCGAATATATGAATGATCAAATTTGCTGTATTACTCTGATTTAGAAACATGCTTTAAGTTTTGGTGCTTGTGTGTAGTGCTCCTGTAGAGCAGACAGGGCAAGTGGCTCTTAGTCACAGCAGTGTATCTCCAAGTCAGAATTAGAAGTATTCTGCAAGGAATATGTTTGTGTATCTGAATATTTTTACATGTGAGAGTAGTCAGACAGGAGAAGACTGTTATGGAAAAGAAACGGGACCCAATCTAAACAATTTGGGAACTGCTGTACTGAGACTCTCCTGAGATTTGGGTGTTTTCTATAAGAAAACGCTTGCTGTGACAGTCTGGCTCTGGAACGAGTTGCCAGGACATTGTGGCATTGAGGGGTTAACTTCTAAAGTTTATTTGAATTAAGAAACGCAAGGTGGGTGTACCTTGAAGTGTGCTGCCTGTGCTTGACTTTAGAGTCCTGAAATCTAATCTGTTTTTCTAACCATATCAGTTAATCTACTAAAAAACGTTGCTTCTCCTTCCCACATGGTCCCTCCTAAACCTTCAGTGTATTTTACTGCCAGCTTCCTGACGGAGCTGGTTCCATTCTTATTTTTGCACCAGCAGCTATTTTGTTTGAGATGTTCCAGGTAATAACATATGTCAAGTGTCTTGGATTAGATGGCATAACTTTCACCAGGAAATTAATTTGGCCATGGTTATTTGGTAATTAATTCTGTAATGGTGACAGATAGCTTAAGCTGAGTTTGCAAGGCAGACAATGAGGAAGTGAATTGATTTTACTGAGAACAGAATGTGTCTGACTTGATAGAAGTGGATTTTTTTGTGTGATTCTCTGTGTTTGAGATCTGCACCATAACATCTGCTCTACTACCTTGTCTACTGGATGTGGGTATTGCTAAAGTTAAAGATATTGTTGATCTGCAGGTTGATCATTGAATGCAGAATGGCTGTAGATTTGCCATTACTCCCATAGCTGCCAGGAAAACAACCTAAGGTCCCTTAGAATAAAATGTATATATATTTTTAATTACTGGTTCATGTACAGTTCATCTCGCAGCTAGCAGTCGTTCTGTGCTGCCTGCAAGTCTGCTTTGCTGTATCAAAGTTTCAAACAAGTTTTCCTTTGGGTTCTGCAATGGTAATTTAACACTAAACTGCCATGCAGTTATCCAGAATAAATGAGGCCTTACTCTTTTTAAGTAATCTTAGTGGGCCATAATCTTCAAATAGTGCATCTGGAGTTAAGAAAACAAATGTAAATGGGCTTTCACATTATCAAGATGCTTAAATTCTACTGCTTTCTTAAAAGGAAATACAAATTGTTTAACTGGCTGCTGTCTCTGTTATATGTCTTGGGAAACAAAAGCTTTATTTTAAATGAGACAATTTTTGTTCAATAGATTTGTGGAAAATATTTAGAATTGTTTATGTTTGAAATTATTTAAATCTAATAATTTATTACTAGCCCAAATTTACAGTGCAGCTTCCTAAAATAATTCCACGCTCCAGGAATATGTTCATGGTATGTTTTTGCTTGCAGTAAAACCAAATTAATAGGACTTATGTAGATGCAGTCATCTGATGGGTCTGAATTATTCTTTGACCTCCTATTCTAATTAAAATTAAGTGAAAAGCTTTTATTCACTGTCCTATACTTAGGAACTGAGCCCCTATCTGGTTAGAAAGGCTCTCAAAGACTGGACATGGACCCTCTCGTGTCTATATGTTAGATAGACCAATTGCAATTGCATTGATTTGTCTGATGCCTGTTTTCTGTTTTTTCGTATTTGCAGATACTGCCCAGGTGGGCCTGATTCTGATTTTGAATATTCAACGCAGTCTTACACCGGATATGAGGTATAAATTCTATTTGTTATCATGCATTTCCTACATTTTCTATAAATTTAGATTAAGCTGCCTTTTGTCTCTACAAATTCATCCTTGTAAGCATAAGCAAAAGCAGGGTCCATAAACTCCAGCCCTAAAGCAGCTCTACTACAAGACTGGGAAGTCTTCTCAATCCTCGTAGCAGTTGTTTCTTTGTCCTGACTTTGCTGCTGTTGATATTGCTTTTAATTTGCTTTAGAGCAGGAGTGAGCAGCCTGGGAGGCTGCGTTGCCTGACTTGCTCCTGTGGGAGTTGTTTTCATCTGAATCCTCACTTGTGGCAAGTAGTGAGTGAGCAGGAGCAGCTGGGCTGGTATTGGTGTCTCCTGGTGCCTCTTTGCTGTTTCTCCTTGGGAAACACTAGGAAAGTGCAACTTTCTACTTGTGAACTGCTTCTGGAGCTACTCTTTCTCTTGGCCTGAGATGCCTGGTGACTCTGGCAACGTGAACGTTTGTTAGGTAGTTTAGGAGCCTCAGTTTGAAACACCAGGAGGTAACTCCTGCTTCCTGCCAACTTGTAACTCTGGCAGAAGTCAAAGGAAAAAGTTTTTATGGCCTCCTGTTTCAGGGGCTTTTATTTAAATGCTAGCTATGATTCTTATTGGAGTTAGCCACCTGCATCAAAAGTTTCCTTCCTAAACAAAGCAACAGGAACACATATTCACATATATGGCTTAATATAGGTTCAGTGGTAAGGGTAGAGAGCCAGAGCCTTTTCCAGATTGGCTCGGTAGAAGACCGAGAGGCAACAAACTAAGTTTAATAGCAGCGGATCTCGCTGTGACTAAGTTATTATGACTAGTTTTTACAAAACAATTTGCAGCCATTCTACAGATATAAAGTAGTAGAAGGGCTAAATTACCAACTGGATTAATTTGATGAATAGGGATGCAGCATCTTCGTATGATTTTTGTCTGATATTATCCATTATTTAGTGTTTTGAAATTTGTCCCTTAAACATTATTCCCAAGTCAGAAAATCTGTGTATTATAAAGCAGTATTATACCTACTTTATAATTCACATCGGTTTGGGTATCTTTTGCATTCATTTGTTAAGTCTTAACAGCAGATGGGAGTTGAGCATGATGAGGAGAGTCCTTCAGAAATTTTAATATAAAAGATAGGAAATACTAAACAAATCCAACATACACAAGATACCTAAGAATCTTACCTTAGAGTATTATTAACAGACTTTTGTCAGATAGTAAGATAAATTTTAAGTTTTTAGGAATTTCCATTAAAAGCCTATGTTTAGCTGAAGGAAAGCTTGAAGTTCAGATAGAGCTCTGGAGGACAATCCTTGGCCAACTATTGTGCAAGTGAAATTGAATTTAACGAAACACAAAAAATGGTATTTTGAAAACCACTTTGTATTTGAGTACTGCAGTGTTTTTCTTATAAATTGCTGCAGAGGTTATTTATTGTCCACCCTGTCATAATTCATTAAAAATCCGAAATGATATCATTCTTTTTATGTTGTATTGCCATCTTGGGACAAAAAGGTATTTTGTTAAAATTTTTAAAAATATTGGGTTTGAATTAATATAATTTCCAAAAAGATTCGATTTATTATGAGGATTTATATTTGGACTTACAACTGGATGGATTCTCTAGTTGTGAGTTTGAAATCATCAGGTTTAAATGCTTGTAGAACTGAAGAATCCATTTCAATGCCTTTTTTAATCTATTTTTAATTGCGGTTAATAAAACTGTTACTAAATCAATCTGTGTGTCTTTTAGCCAACATCCATGAGGGCCATTCGGGCTAGATATGACCCCTACCTTCAGACAAGACATCGAGTTGAACAGGTAAATCTCAAATGTCCTGTATTTTGGCTAAATCCAAGAATTATGGCGTTTAATTTGTGGTTAATCTTGTCAGCCCTACCACCTTTTTCATACCTCAAGCATTGCATCTCCAAAGTGTTATTTACTGGGAGGTGGTAGCTGGGGACTTGCTTATCTTGTACTTTCTGGTTTTGGATGTTTTCAGTACCCTTAGATATTTGCATAGAGAAAAGAAAAATATAAGTAGCATTTCACAAAGTTATAATCTACCATTTGATTGGCATCATCCAGTAAGAGCATGGGATCTTAAAATTAAAGCATGATATGGTTTACTAGATGGAAGGTGGAACCAAGCTTCTCATCTTGGTGCCCAGTGACAAGACAAGAGGTAATGGACGCAGGCTGAAGGGCAGAAAAATCAATTTAAGCATTTAAAATAACATCTCTTTTACTTCTGAGGGTGGTCAAGCACCAGAGCAGGTTGCCCAGAGAGGTTATGGAGCCTCTGTCCTTGGAGACACTCAGACCTGTGTCCTGAGCAGCGTTCTGTAGGTGATTCCGCTTGGAACAGCGGGGTTGCACTTGTCCTCTCCAAATCTATGAATTCTCCATGAATTCAGCCTCATTCTCCTCTCCCACAAGTTTTTAAGGATAGTTCTGTGTGGATTGGTGCAGATAGGAGAAACTTCTTCCTGCTGGCCCTGTCCAAGATTACTTCAAAGTGGAATTAATGTAACCACATTATCAAGACCCACGCTCAGGTTACTCATCTGCCTTGTTAAGAAGGCCTGTTAATGCTGAGCACAGCCCCTTAATGTGACCCTGCATTTCTAAACTAGCAGCTATCTTGAATCTGGGTGGCTGAGTACACAGATTTCGCTGTATTTTCCCATTTAGAAGTATCCTAGTAGTATTTTTCCATTTTGAGCTTCTTTTTATGAAGAACTTTGCCACTTTTGCTGCTCTTTATCTTTTGCTCTCTGTATCATCTCTCTTTAAAGCATCTTTCAAAAACTGTGTTTTTGCAGTAAAAAAAGTAATTGCTTTGCCACTTTTGCTGCTCTTTTTCTTTTGCTATGCTCTCTGTATCATCTCTCTCTAAAGCATCTTTCAAAAGCTGTGTTTTTGCAGTAAAAAAAGTAATTTTTGATGTTTTGGGTGGGCTTATGAGAAGACTGCAAGAGTATCAATGGTTTGTCATGTCTGAAAGATTTGACAGGTGGTGAAGGAAACATTTACACTTTTGGGAATGTCAGGGTTTTCACATAAGTCTTTTGGGTAAAAGTCACTCACTGGTAATTTCAATTTTATAGCTGAAGCAGTTGGGCCACAGCGTGGATAAGGTTGAATTCATTGTGATGGGTGGGACTTTCATGGCCCTGCCTGAAGACTACAGGGATTACTTCATCCGTAACCTTCACGATGCCTTGTCAGGACACACGTCCAACAACGTAGCAGAGGCTGTCAGGTAAGCATATATATATGTATATGTGTGTGTGTATATATATATATATTATCTAAAAGTATTCTTTAGCCTTCTTACCCTCATTTAAAGGTAGTTTTTTGGTCTAAGAAAAGTACTGAATAAAGCGTTCAGACTTCAGTTTTTGAAAGGCAATATTTCCAGTTAGATATCCAAATAGATTTAGGCATGAGGTATTTATAGCTTGGTGTCCAGTTTTGCTGTGCTTACTGCGTAGCACCAGCAGAAGATAAGGTCATGGTTTATCTCTTCTCTTTTTTTTTTTCCCTGTAGGAAATGCTAATTTTCTCCTAATTTCTTGGCCTTCCATCTGGTCTTCTGCCTTTATGTGCCTGCTCCTTGCTTTGGAGTCGTGACGTGTGGCGTTGCCCTAAGATCCTTCCCTTCAGCTGGGAAGGGGAGCTGATCCCAGCTTGGAGGGCAGCCAGGCAGCAGCTCCTGGAAGGGATGAGTCACCCCGAGAGCGTCAGTACTCCCAGTGCTGTGCCCAGTTATCCGTGCAGTGGTTCTGCCTGGCAGGGAGAGGCTCTTGTTCTCATTTTACAGCTGATGAACTGAAAAGCAGAGAATGATTCGGTTGTAGGTGCTTTGAGTTACTAAGTAGGCAACTGTGTGGTGTGAAACAGAAGAAAAACGTCAAAGGTTTCACGTTTTGGAGCTGGTAGGTGATCATCTCTACTGACATTTTTAGCAACGTGCTGCCAAAGTTTAGTGAAATGGGTTTTACTTGATACCGTTGTCACCTACTGCAGAAAGCGCTTCTAAACTGGTTAGAAGTAGCTGTTTTCTAGTTTCATATATTAAAGATGTAATTTAATCTTTATTCCTCTGGAGGGCAGCATACACTTTTTTACTTTTGTGTGTGGGTTTTTTTCCCCTTTGTCATTCAAAGACAAGAAAAAAGTGCTGTGCTGCTGTATCCAAGTGGAATTATCAAGGCAATAAAATCCTGAACAAGTTGAGGAAAGAATTGCTTTTCTCTGCAGTGTAGGTGTCATACAGATCATACAGAGGTACTTTTAATGGATCATTTATTTTTGAAGGCTTCCTTGAAGGTATTGTTAATATGCAGAAATCTTTGAAACTACCTCATGTTAAAATACACTGCAAAGAAGCAGAAATGTAAAATTTCATTTGCTCTTGTGCCCTGGTTGCAAGGTCTTTAAGAACACAACTCTTTTTTGAAGAGTGGGATTTGCTGTTTTCAAATTAGCTTTCTGCCTGTGTGTACATCAGTGGTTCAGAAGATGGTTATTCAGTGTTTTCTGCTGCAGGTCTCTAGCTAATTTTATTGGAGACAAAATTATTTTTGCAGTAATCTGCCCTTTGCTCTGCGGATTATCAAGGAAGCTCATTATGACGCAGACTGTGTGACCAGGTGATTTTTGGGTGCAGAAGTGAACAAAATGGCTCTGAAATCAGTGTGCTGCCTTGCAAGCACCCAGCGTGAGCAACCCGTCGCTAGCAGT